CAAGGGTGCAGAGCGTACTGTGGGTGCAGGAGGACTTCAATGTTGACCACCAAGAGTAGGTCATCACTGGCCAAGACAGTCAAGTTCCAAAGGACAGACCTTTCAGAGTCAGGCTGGCAAAGTAGTGAAGGAACCAACATGATATATTTAAACTCATCCTCACCAATCTGTATGCCCTAGATGTGTTCTTCCATGACAGTAGTTGGTAGGAGTGGTCGCCACATAGTCCTAGTCGAAAGGAGTCCCTTTTCCCCCCCACCGCAGAGGGGGACCTCCTTTGTTGTGTAGTGCTTAACGGGATAAACTTACAACAAATCTAGCAACTAAAAACAGGCAAACTATGAGGCTTTGAGGGCCACTAAAGCAGCAGAATTCTACTCAACTACGATGTGTAATCTTCTGGCTTGGCCTCTTTGCCCATTGCCATCGACATCAAGCCAAAAGATCAACCCCTGATTTGAAAGCTTGTGCAGGAGGTCATGACAGGAACAGCCCCAGGCATACTTAGAGAAAAAAAAAACAGGATCCTGCTGGTGAAGAAACAGCATGCCAAACAGTAGAAGCAATACGCATTTAACAGGACAAAAAGATTCGATCTAACTTCTGCAGTCATGCCACAACCAATCATAAATGCTGGTGGGCAAACATCAGAAGGTGGACACTCCACAAATATCTACATTCTCACTGAGGGAGCCCAGCACCTTGAACCTGTCCCTTCGGATTTGACCAGCCATGATGCTCTACCAAGTCAGTCTTGCTGATAGAAATTGAAGTCCCCCACCCAAAGTACACTGTGTCCCCTTAGTAGCTCCTTCAAGTGATGCTCAACATGCAAAAGAACTGACCCATCAGCTGAGGAAGGCCCCTAAGATTGTAATTAACAGTTTTCATTCCCCATGTCTGACCTCCTGACATCAGACTTCACGAGGTCCAGAGTCCCAACCGGACACATTGTACGCCACCTCTACTGGTGGAACAGTACGTATTCACGATGCCAGTGTCTGAGAGATTGACTGTAAGGTACGATTCCGAGAGTGTGGCTATGTTAGTTGTTGCTTAACCAGAGAACTCTCCCAGTTTTTGCAAAGGGCTCCAGATGTTGCTACGGAAAACTTCGCAGGGTTGACAGGGCTGTGCCCTGTCGCGTCCATATCCACGACTGGTTTGATGAGGAGTGGCCTGGACAGATTTTATTGTAACCAATCACTGTGAGAAATTGCAATCTATTGTCAATTTAGGCCTTTCCGGGGGCTAATTAAATGAGCTCCATTTGCCTGTGTTTGGTCTATATCCTTCCATACCTATCCCATCCACATACCTGTCTAAATGTTTCTTAAATGATGCAATTTTATTCACGTCCACTTCTACCTCTGGCAGCCTATTCCAGACACTAACCACCTTGTGTGAAAACACTGCCTGCCCACCCCCACCCCATACACTTTTGTATCTCTCCCCTCTCACCTTAAACCTTTGCCCTCTCGGTTTAGATTCCCCGACCACGGGAAAAAGCTGTTGGCTATCTACCTTACCCATACCTCTTGCGATTTTACAGACCTCTATAAGGTCACTCCTCAGTCTCCTATGCTCCAGGAGCAAAAGGTTCCCAGCCTATCCAGCGTCTCCTTAACTCAAACCTTCCAGTCCCAGTAGTATCCTAGTAAATCTTTTCTGCACTCTTTCTAGTTTAACAATATCTTTTCTACAGTAGGGTGATCAGAACTGGACACAGTACTCCAAAAAAAGAGTTAAACAAATTGCCGTGGATCTTAAATCATGGAGGCAATGCCAGATCGTGTTCCTTATCCTGAGAGACATCAGCGAAACAGTTGGGTTTTAAAAACAATCCCACAGCTTCAAATCTGTCATTTGCAAAACTAGCTCCCTACTTCTGATTTAATGAATTAATTTTCAAATTCAGGAACTGCCAGTGACTGGGTTGGAACTCCAGTATCTGGATTATGTATCTAGAGATCTGATGACTCGCCAAGTTGTATAATCACTAAACAACTGCACCCTGTGACCTCAACTCTAATCCCCACGTGGTCAAATACTTCACTGACATTCACCATCTTGTGTTGCACAAGATGTCATGCTGTTGAGTGCAACTTGATGCTTGAAGAATTGCACTGAAATCAAAATCAAAACTTGAGGAAAGAAGAATAAAACTGATTAATACAATGAAGTATTAAGTCGGAAGATGATAATGAACTGTTTTGAGTACTGCTTTCAAAATTAACTTGCTTACCTAGAAAGACAGAAGAGAGGAATATCAGGAGACAACCTCAGCAAATGAAGGTCAGGAAAGTTCAATCCATCTACTCCTACTTTTAAAACAAGCAATTCTCCTTTCAGATGCCCATTAGCTGATAGTTGCCATCTAATGGCTGGAAGCAGAATGTTCAACAACATTCATTGAGGATCAAGAAAGGATCAAAAATCATTGAAGGGTTAATTTGAGACAAAAACCAGTTTCACTCGTTTGATGTCTACTCAGCACTGAGTTCAAAAGCACATGCATTCACTTAACACAGACAGAACTGAACCTTTACAGTTCATGAATAATAGATGCTAAGGGCTTGCGGTGTCACTGTTAGGAGCTCTAGGTTCCACTCCAGGACTTCATCAAAAAGGAGGTACATTTATAATGTGGCCAAACAAATCAAGCATCAACTTGTAAATTCTTCCAACATGCAACAATGGCAGGCAATAGCATCAGAAGGGATTCCTGGGCAGTCACATGTTGGAACAAAATTCGGTCAAGGGATGAGTCCCTGGCTGGCCAGCATTTGTTGTCCATCCCTAAATGCCCTGGTGAAGGTAGTGGTGAGCTGCCTTGAGCCTCTGCAGTCCTTGGATATAGAAATACCCACAGTGCTGTTTTGTTTGGAACCTAGACTTTATTAACAAAGGACAGGAATATAAAAACATTGAAGTAATGTTAATAAGACCATAAGAAATAACAACAGGAATAGGCTGTTCGGCCCCTCAAGCCTGCTCTGCCATTCTATAGAATCATGGCTGATCTAACATTCTTGTCCTTTCCCCGCAACCCTTGATTTCCCTTGTACAAACTTATATAAAGCACTGGTTCAGCCTCAGCTGGAGGAATGCATGTAGAGACAGCCTTCTCTTCTGCAAGGAAAGAGTCCCAATGTTTTATAATCTGCCTTTGTAACTGAAGTTCCTCATACTTGGAACTGTTCTCATGAACCTTTTCAGTGTTCTTTCCAACACCTACACATCTTTAAGTATGGAGCCCAGAATGGCATGCATTATTCCAGCTGAAGTATTCAAAATCTCAGGGGAGACAAGGAGAAACTGCTCCCTTTCAAGGGAAGGAAGGAGGAAGGAGCAGCTAAATTAAATGTTCGGAGGAAGGGTCACCAGACCCGAAACATTAACGGATTTCCCTTCAGAGACCTGCTGAGCTTTTCCAGCAATTTCTGTTTTTGTTTGATTTACAGCATCTGCAGTTCTTTCGATTTTTAAATTAAATGTAATTGGCAAAAGAACAAACAGCAACATGAGAAAAAACATTTTTCAAGTCGTGAGAGATTATGGCCTGGGATGCATTGTTTGACAGCATGCTGGAGGCAGCTTTAGTGGAGGCATTCAACAGGGAGCTAGAGATTGTCATGTGAAAAGACAATGATGTGCTAGGCTACAGTGAGGAAGCAGGGCAATGGCACAAGGTGAACTGCTTGATCGGAGAGCCTAAATCCATAGACTGAATGGCCCCCTTCCACTCTGTAACAGTTCTGCGATTCAATTACACTAAAGGCCCACTGGAGAGTTCTGGCTCTGGTTCTGGGCATCCCACCTTAGCAAGAATATATCGGACTTGAAGGAAGCGTTACGGACGTTCACCAATGATAGTTGAAGATTCAATGATGAGTATCAACTGGGATGGATTCCCCAGAATTTAAAAATGATTCAGAAGTGATTTGACCAATGTTTAAACTATCAAAGGGACACAGGTATTGAGAGAGAAAGAAAATGTTCCCACCTACTGGGAAATCCAGAACTACCATCATAATCCAAAATTTAAGATGCAGATCCCTGGAGGAAGCAAAATTATGGAATGCTTCTACACAAAGTGTGGAAGAAGTCTGGAATACTCAACCTTAAAAAAAATACAATTTGTGCTGAATCAACTGAGAATTTTAAATGTGAGATCAATAGATTTTTCTCAAACTTAAGGGACATGGAGCAAAGCAGATATGAAGAGTTAGGTCACAGATTAGCAATGATCTTTTTGATGGCAGAACAAGTCTAAGACTAAGAGGTAAGCCATTCAGTACTGAGATGAGGAAGAACATCTTCACTCGGAGTTATGAACCTGTGGAATTCTCTCCTGCAGGAAGCTGTTGGAGCCAGTTCATTAAATATATTCAACAGGGAGCTGGACACGGCCCTTGCGGCTTAAGGGATCAAGGGGTATGGAGACAAAGTGGGAATGGGATACTAAGATTGCATGATCATATTGAATGGTGGCGCAGGCTTGAAAGGTCGTGTAGCCTACTCCTGCACCTATTTTCTATGCGCCTACGGTTTCTAAGTGCAAGAGGCTAATTGTCTACTCATGTGCCCAAGGAGCAGCTCCAGCCACCAATAAACACAACAGATATGCAGCAGTAAACAATTATCGCTCCCCAACACCCCTCCAACCCCCACTTCACCTCAATGGAAAACAAAAAAGGTACACTGAGAAAAGGAAGGTGAAGATTTAATCTCTCCTGTTCACTTCCCCCTCTGCCTTATCCACTTGGCCTTCCTCCTTCCCACATTAACTCCTGCTCTACTTCTCTCTGCCTGGATACAATCATACTGCTCCTTATTCTGTAACTCCGAATACTGCGCAGTGAGTCGAGACCAAATCTGCAACGCTGTGGTTATTACTTCTGCAAACAAGTTCAGCCTGTGTACAGCAAAAAAGTGGAAGAGAGAGACTAGCAAACAAGGGAAAAGGGACTCTCCAGGGGTCCGGTGACTATATTTACCTGTGCTGGTGCTGTAGGGTAACTTGTGTAAGGTGGGGGAGCAGAGGCATAAACACCATCATCCAAGACAACTTCAGGAGCAAGGCTCTGTAATGAATTATATTAGAATAAAGTTTATTCTTCAGGCTCCCCGAGAGACAAACTGCAACGTCTTAAGCTACAGATTCAACAAGTAAAAACACAAATATAATTCAATTCAAAAATGTAATTTAATTTTGGTCATTTTGTATTCGTTCATTAACACAACATGTAAATGAACAACACTTGAAAAAAAAAGCGTGGGTCACCCTGTCATAGAAATGTAACTTTGATGAAATTATCTATTGTAAACTATTCTACTAGATTAAAATAACTCGTCATTGAACTTCATCACGATTCCATATCCTCATCTGTTCAAACATCTGTTGAGAGCACAAACAAGTTCCAGGACAGATCTGCAATAGGAAGAAGGTTAGGGGGAGACCTGTCCTGGATTGGAGGGAATTTTTTTTTTTTTAAAAAAAACCCTGAATGCATCCATCAGGAAGAGTGAAACAAGAGATGACTCATTGTTCAGAAAACCCATAAGATCTTCCAGAAGGGATTTTGTCAAAAGAAAATCTGCTCATCTAAACCTGGACTCTCAATACTCTACACTCTTGAAAAAGCGTCTGCTTTCCGAGGACCATGATACCAAGAGAGATGTTGAGAAAGGAAGGCACTCAACCACAGCTTTATAGTGGAACGACAATTGTAATGGTGCAGGAGGTGACCACTCGGCCCATTGCATCTGCAATGGCATTTGAAGCGTTTTAACTGACTTTTACTCATAACCCCTGAATAATGTTTCTGTTTAACTAATTATCCAATAGTCTCTTGAAACCCTCGGTCATACCTGCTCACACCATGCCACTGCACTTCCAGGCAGTGCCTTCCAAATCCAAACCACTTATGTCTAATTAAGTTCTTTTTTCCCCTTCACCTCGCATTTGCTTTTTTGGCAAAATACTTCAAACTAGTGCAGTCTGCTTCTTGATTCTTTTACGGGAACAGCTTCTTTTATCCACTCTGGCCAGGCTCCTCATGATTTTGAAAATATCAAATCCATCCTCCGCCCTCTCCCCTCCAAGGAAAAGAGTCCCAACTTCTCCAATCCATCCTCATAAATGAAGGCCTTTATCCTGGAATCATGCTTGTAAACCTCTTCTTCACACTGTGCAACACTTTCACATCGTTCCTCAAGGGTGGTGTACAGCACTGTACACAATACACCACAGGGGAGGCAATGGCCTACTGTATTATCACTGGACTGTTAATTCAGAGACCCAGATAATGTTCTGGAGACCTGGGTTCAAATCATGGCAGATGGTGGAATTTGAATTCAATAAAATATCTGGAATTAAGGGTCTAATGATGACCATGAATCTATTGTCGATTGCTGGAAAAACCCACCTGGTTCACAAAAGTCCTTTAGGGAGGGAAACTGCCATCCTCACCTGGTCTGGCTTACATGTGATTCCAGACCCACAGCAATATGGTCGACTCTTAACTGCCCTCTGGACAATTAGGGATGGACAATACATGCTGCCTAGCCAGTGATGCCCACATCCAGTTACTGAATAAAGACAAAAAGAAACTGAGGTCTAACCACTGTCCAGCACAAGGTCAGCGCAAATTCCCTGCTCTTGCAATTTGCCCTAATAAAGCCAAGAACATCCTCTTTTAGGACAAGGTCCTGACATCTTTAATCCTTTATGGACAGATATTCCCAGGTCTTTATGCTCCAGCACATCCTTGAGAATTATATTATACTGTCTCGGCATGTTCTTTGTACTAAAATCTATCACTTCATCTACACACCACTGACTTGTCAATGTCTTTTTGAAGTTCTACACTGTCTTCTTCAGTTTACATTCAAGCTTTTCAGCACTTGCAAAGTTTGCCATTGTCCCCTGTCTACCAAGAACCATATCATTTACATGCATTAGGAAAACCAAGTGTATTAATACCGATCCTTAGGAATTCCACTACAAACTTCCCTCCAGCCTGAAAGATACTCGTTTGGCAATACGCTCAGTTTCCTATCACTCAGCTGATTGTGTATCCATATTGCTACTGTCCTTGGTATTCCATGATCTACAAACTTGCCTCACTGTCTGTTGTGTGGTACTGCACCAAGATGCCTTTTGAAGTCCATACACACCACATCAGCCTTGTCTTCATTAACACACTCACTGCTTCAAAATACTCCAGTTAGTTGGACACAATTTTCCTTTAACAGATCCTGCAAACTCTTCCAAATTAGCCTTTATTTTTCCATGCGACTATTAATTTTATCCCCAGTACTTGATGCTAGATGTTTACCCACCAAATGACGGGTCTGTAATTGCTGGGCTCATTTTTACAAACTTTTTTGAACAAAGATGTAACGTTTGCAATTCTCCAGTCCTCCAGCACCCCACCCCTAATGTCTTGGGAAGGTAGAAAGATTATGACCAGCACCTCTGCGGTTTTCACTCTTTTTTCCTCCAATATCCTTGAACACACCTCATTCAGTCCCAGCAACTTGTCATCTTTATATATGATAATCAGGAATCGATATTGGACAAAGAATCAAGAGATGTAGGATCTACTCAAAGGGATTTTTAAACTTTGAGTTCATATAATCATGCATGCCCCTTGGCCACCATATCGCTACATTAATCTGCCTAGCTCAACATATCATCGACTTTGGTACCCTGCTTTGAATTCTCTTAAAAACCAAGCCCTCCCCCAGATGTCACAGTCCACATTCAAAACCATTCAATTCATTCATATCATTTACTGTACTGTCAGTTTCATGTATGAAATCTGTACAGATATGTTGCAAATGAAGCAAAATGCAAGATCAAATTTTTCTGGAAGAACACAAAATGGTGGAGGCGCTACAATGTTATATATACGAGCTCCTTATACAATTGTTCATATGATCCACAGCCAACAGATCTTACATGAACAAACAATTGCCTACAGCTCACTCGTGTACACTACATTATTCCAAATATATCTCATGCAACTTTGCTCCATCTCAGCTGAGGTTATTACTGACTTTTCAGAAGGGAACAGTCCAGAGAGAAAGCCTGGGTAATCAGAAGAGCACGGCCTCATGCTATATAGCCATGGTAACAACAAAAGCTGGCTGACACCAGTTGTTTAGCTGAAATTAGTACTTACATCCCTGTGACTCAGTTTGTTTCCATTCTGCAATGTAGAATACCACAAGAGACTTGACTTACCAAGTTTGTCCATGCCTCTCGAAGTGCGAGTTTCCAGGCCCTGCACAAACCATAACAAACATTAACACAACTCAAGGATGTTCAAAACCCAATCATTCAGATCCTATTCCATTCAAATAACTCAACTAGAAACATCCCAGGATCCAATAAGGCCCTATCTGTGTAACATTCTGAATTTTTTAAGTTACAGGTCAACATGCATATCTTCTTTGGTGAGATTTAAAATCATGAGCGGGCTGGACAGAGGAGATGGAGCAAAGCTGTTCCCTTGTCGACTATCCCTTTTCAGAGAGGGACAAGGAAAAGGGACATGACAAGACAGAGAAAAATAAAAAGTTGTGTTTGAGATTCCAACACCCGGATCAAAATCAAGGTATTCAAAAACATTTTCAAAAGAGGGAAAATTAAAACTCAAACTTACAGGCAGTCATCAGCACTTTCTGCACAGAGATTGATCGTTCTCTCATCCCTGCACTGAATCTGCAGTAAACAATCTCGAGGCTTTCCATCCGGAGGCTGGAAGTCTAATTTGGGAATAAACAATAAGTGAAACCAGCACATAAATCCAAACTGAATTAAAATGGCATGAACTACTTCACTTAAAGCTACAAGCAGTTCAAGACTTACCCTGTCTGTTATCTACCTATCTTTAACTGTTTAGATGACGACTCAAAATCTGGTTTTCATTGCAAACCTGAACAAAAGGCATGACTATTTCTCTGGAGAAATACAGTCCCAAATGGCTTTCAAGCAGTGACACGTTATCTTGACATTCAGACTGAACATGAAATTAGTTCAAGTCTGTTGCATTAACGTGCCAAGCTAAATTGCTCAGAGCTGGACCAGACTAGTCCCAAAGTGACTGGATCTCAGAGATTGGCTTTGAGTGCAGCAGCATTGATCTTGCAGCAACTAATCCACTAAATCAGCCAAACAGCAAGTATGTCAAACTCATTACACAGATTGCATTTGAAATGGGTGATATCATGACTGAGCTATCCATAAAGATACACAGTATAAAGCAGATGGGCAGCAACATAATAAACTTATGGAAATGGAATATTAATTAAAAATACAGCTTTATTACCAGCTTGACTAAACACTTTTTTCTAACAAAGTAGATAACTTTCAGTACAAAGCACAAACCTCTACACTCAGATCCAGATCGGATGTTAATACAGTCCATTTTTAAATGGATCTTATCTTCCATGTCTTCTCGCATCTGATTGTCATAGTAGATGAGCTGACCATTGGACCACAGGTCAAACCAGTTGTTCTTCCATCGCTTTAAAATAGTACCTGAAATAAGTTAAAATTCAAGAGAAAAGCTTCAACAGGTCATTTTGGTGCAAGACTCACGACAGACCAACCAGCTATGGAAGCTCTGGCCCAGGAAGCCATGAATGAACCTAACATTACAACGATCGACCCACCCTCGGAACAAGAAAAACACAGAGTCAGAAGCTAACTCATCATGAACGTCTCTGCCAACCATAATCCCAGGCTTTGGGAGAGTGTTGCCCTGCTACAACAGATAATACAGCCATTCCTATAGTTATTTAGGAAGAATGGAAATCTAAAAGGACAACTATCAGTCCAAACTGGTTAATGTCACTGCATTCATTTTCATATGGGGACATATAGTCAGTTCATGGTGACAAATAACGCTCTTTTTAATAACTGTGCCTGCAGAGAGAAAAACATCACAAAGCTGCCACTGGTGAGCTACAGCATCACACGCTCAAATAACGTCTTTCCAGAGGTGCAGTTGCAACTAGTGCAAAAGCAAAGTCATCTTCCAATGATCATTTAATAATTCTACAAGGGAGGTCATCAGACCAGGTTAGAGGGGGCTTCGACATCATAGGTCGTCCATCAGTACAAGTGTACATGTTTAACAGGAAGGAAGGGAGAGGAAATGGAGAGTGAAAGAAACCTAGGTAGATTTCTAGTCGAGATTGTTAGGTGTTGAAACATGTCCAATCAACATATTGAAGGTTTACCTAATTTCAATTTGTTAGCGTCACTCAAATTTGGTTTAAATTTCTCTTCACCAACTGTACATTTTCTTTCTGATCATTCCTACCACAGTTCATAACCTTCAGTTAAATATCACTGTCACTTTACATCATAGGAGATCAGAAAGCGTAACTCACTTTGCCGAAGTAGCCATCCACTTTTAATATAGGCCATATCTGCCATAGAAAGAGGATCTGTGGAAAGAAATAATAAAGATTTAGGTTGAAACAACAACAACAAAGTTCCACACTGTTACAGAATATGTTTCATATGCACATGAATGAGAGACTGGGGGAAGCATGCTTTTTCTATCTAAAAACTAGCAACTTCAAATCAATCAACAGCAACACTCAAAAATAGATGGAACATGGGACGAATCCGCCCCCCCCCCCCCCACCAAAAATCACTTGAGAAACTCCGCTCACAGGAGTAACAAGAGAAAAATTACTCTCCACTCTCCTGCAAATAGAATGGAAGGAAATGGTGACAAGCTGGTCCTCCAATCACAGGCAAGTCTCCTCCATGCTTGTTGCTTTTAGGCTCATCGATGAGCCTAAAAATGTAGCAGAGACACAACCTGTGATTGGAAGGGCAGCAGGAAGCTTGCTAGCTGCAGCTAGTGTTGGCAGCGAGGCGGTCAACAGGAAGCAGGGAGGCTGGGAGGCAGTTACTGTTTTTCCGAGGCTGGGCCTGGATACCTTTGTTGCTGAAACACAGAGCAGAAACATTGCCAAGGCAGCTTTATATCTGCCCAGTCAAATGAGGGAGATAGAAACACAGACTGGCAGAAAGGGAGGGGGAAGGCGATAGGGGCGAGGACAAGGCCTGCAAAAGAAGAGAGTAGTTTCAAAATCGGTCAACAAAAAAATACTCAGCTAACAAAGAACTCTTGAAATCACTGGAGTAATAAACTAATTGCAAATAACGTGATATCGCTAACTTAAGGCTGGCTAAGTTTAGGAGATATATTGGGAATAAAAAGTACGTGGATGCTATTGTAATGAATAATATCAATTGTTAAATTTTCAACCGTGATTCAGATCTGAAATGCAATGAGAACTGCCTTGTTAAAATATTCCAGCTTTGAGCAGATATGATGGATACACATTAGCCGTGACCTCAGCAATCTAGACAGCACGTACAAGATGATGGCTGTGTGTGTATAGAAGTATAAACCACTTTTTAAAAAAAAAAGTTGTTTTCAATGTAAAACTATTTTCTTGAGCCAATTAAAGCACCATGACCTTCAGAAAATAATGCTTTCCTTGTAAGTGGTGGTTTTAAGTTTAATGAAGTTCATAATTAACGACATTGAATCATTCTTCCAATTCTGCCTCTGTGAATCCAAAATACCTGAACATCAATTAGAAGATATTGTTCCAAGATTAGATGACTAAAAAAAGAGTTATGAGAAAGAAAACGTAGCTCTATTGAAAAACTTTTTGTACTCTAATCAACAGAGAATCTCAAACCAAGAAATGCTGCAGAGGTACATCTCATTTTACCCAACATCAAATATCTTGAACAAATACACTTTTGCAAAAAAGAAAAGTATGAGCTGCAATGTATCGGATGCCTTAAAATAGTGGACAAAACGTATGCACAGAGCACACAATTATTCTGACAGAGAAGTAACAGGATTTGCTCTCGTCTGAAAGCATCGAGGAAGCTAATTTAGTTTTTTCTTTTAAAAGAAAAAGTTTGATTTTAAGAGAATGGGGGCAAGTTTCCTGCAGAATAAAAATCAAGCAAAGTCAAGGCCACCTTCATTTCCAGTCATCCTCTGTAGCAACTGTCATTGCAACTGTGGGGCTCATCAGTTAATAACGCATGGCATTAAAAGTCAACCACGTGGCACTGGGTTAGAGTTGCATCTGAGTTAGACCCTGTAGGGACAGCAGGTACATCGGCCTTCTGCAGTAGAAGAAAGCTCATTGGGAGGGCAGAGCGCTTAAAAAGCCACAGACAACCCAGCGGCAATGGTAACGCAACAAAAAAGATGCAGAGAAATTTAACAATTCAATGTCCTATCTGGAGGGAGGAGAAACAGGACATGAAAGCCGAACGTACATTGCTTACACCGGGTAGCATAGACTCACAGAGATGTACAGAATGGAAGCAGACTCTTCGGGTCCAATTCATCCATGCTGACCAGATATCCTAAATTAATCTAGTTCCATTAGCCAGCATTTGGCCCACATCCCGGTAAACCCTTATTCATGCAACATTTTAAAAAGGCACCTGGATGTTTATAACTAAACCTGCCCCCACCACTTCCTCTGGCATACACACAGCACCCTCTGCATGGGAAAGTTACTCTTTGGGTCCCTTTTAAATCTTTCCCCTCTCACCTTAAATCTATACCCTCTAGTTTAGGACTTCACTACTCTGGAGAAAAGACCTTGCCTATTTACCCTATCTATGCCCCTAGTGATTTTAACAACTTCTGTAAGGTCACCCCTCAGGCTCCAGGGAAAATAGCCCCAGCCTATTCAGCCTCTCCCTATAGCTCAAACCCACCAACTCTGCCAACATCCTAAGTCTTTCCTGAACCCTTTCAAGTTTCACAACATCTTTCCTACAGCAGGAGGACCAGAAATGAACTTTGTATTTCAAAAGTGGCTTAACCAAGCACCTGATCAAGAAACGGAGCCAGAGTATTGCTAAGAAAATATATTTTGTTGAAGCATTTCATTTGGCATTCCATCAGGACAATTCACAAGAATACCAATATAAAGGGAAACATTTTATACAGTATGAGAAGATTAGTTTGCAAAAGTCCACTTTCCAATCAGCACACTCTTCAAAGTTGCCCTGATGAGTGCAAGATGCAAAATTTGCCCAATGTGTTTTGCTCTCAGCAACAAAACTTCTGTCCCACCACACAATGGCTTGCACGTCAGAAGTGGACAGGGGCATGGAAACTCTAACATCAGGAACAGGAGCAAAAATAAATTAAAATTAAACATCACAAGAGAAAGATGGGGGAAGTTAAACGTTAATGATCTGGTGAAATTACAACATAAAAACCCAAAAACCTGCAGATGCTGTAAAGCAGGAACAAAAACAGAAGCTGCTGGAAAAGCTCAGGCAGCATCTGTGAAAGAAACATCAGAGTTTACATTTCGGGTCTGGTGACCCTTCCTCTGAAACTACACCTATTAAATAGACAGGTCATGTTTGTTAAGCATGAGAATAAGAATACACAGTTATAAGAAGGTTCATAATGCCAAGGCATCTTAAAGGAGGAGACAGCCCAAGCAGTTTATGCATAATGTGATAGTTTGTAGAAGATTCAATAATCAGAGGATGGAGAACCACCTTTTGAAGCAGGATATAGAGCTTTATTTGACATATTACCTACCCAGTGCCAGGGCAAGGAAAATCTCAAACCTGTTTGGAGGGACTTGAGAGGCAGTAGGAAGATGCGATCAACGACACAGAGAAAAGTGGGAAGGTGGTCTTGATTGCACAGCGTGGGAACTAGAAGCTAAATTAAATCAAAAGGAAATAAACTGAAATGGTAGGCTTCAAGTTCCTAGGGCACGTGCAAACAGGCAGAACGATGAACAGATTAGGGTTTGAATGCATATCTGAAGAAGCGTATGGGAGAGAGGGGTTCTATTTTATGGTGCACCACTATTAGGGCAGGTTAATGATCAGATGGAAAAGGCAATTTAATGCTGGATCAAAAACACATGAAAAGGGAAAAGAGCAAAAAGTGACAGCTTGATCGTACTTGTGGCAGTGCAAGCAAAATTGAAAGTGAAAGTGCTAAAACAAGAGAGGAATAAGAAACATAAGTAAAAAAAAAATTAAGAGCTAAAGATCCTTCACACAAGCGCAAAGTGTATATGGAACAAATTGGATGGATCACAAGTACAAATTCACGCTGAAGGATATGACATTGGTTGCCTTGCTGAGATATAACTGCAAGGTGGTCAGAATTGGGAACAAGACATGCTAGGTAAGGTGAACAGAAATAAATGGCAGAGGAGGAGGTGCCATCTTCGTAATTAAGGATGAATTCATTTTGATCAAGGACGATATGTGCAAAAAGACAGTGGAAAGTTTATGGGTTGAAAGTGATCCAACATTTCACTGGAAGTTGTCTACTTGCGTCCTACACCTGTTTGTTAAGTTGTATGAATATGGTAATTAGACATCAATTATCTAATGCAGAGTGCAGAACTAGGCAACTTTCTTAACAGTTAAATAGCAGCTTGGTGGAAGGTGTTCAAAATCTAATCAATATGGTACATAAGTAATTTCCATTTTCATATAGCTTGGATCAAACAAACTTCAAAATATCGCAGCAGGTGAACCGTCTAAATGTGTCCAGAACAGATTTCAACAACTCAATGTCCAAGTGTCAACAGGGGAATGCCTAGTAGACTGAATTATTAATACACCATATTTAGCCAACAGTCTAAATATGTATGGCTTTTTCTGAAACAGCCATTAAGATTCAAGGAAAGCTGACTTGAATCAACAAAATACATGATCCACAACAAAACTTTGCAAGTTTCTTAATACAATTGGTGGGAGCTGTTCAAAAATTAATCAATATGATACAGAAGTTGATTATATTTATTAAAAAAAGTGCAAAGGATCTACAAAAAAAAATGAACAACTGAACTAGTGAGCAACAACATAAAAAAAAACAGGAGAATGCAAACAAAATCTGCTAAATAAATAGGTGGATGGGGAAGGTATAAAGGATGATGTAACAGGTTAACTACAAAAAAGGGCGTATGACAAGCAACTTGCATAGAATATTAAAATCAACAAAATGTTTTACATTTGACAAACTAAGGTGGTCAACAGCATCAGGGATTCCTTTGATTTCGACACCGTCAGTTTTTCTCACTTACAATAACGAAATGGCAGGCACACTGAATAAATGTGCTGCATCAGTAATGGAAGATGAAGAGGTTAGCAAGGAGACTGATGTTGATTCAGGGCCATGACTCAAAGTTAACATAAGCAAGGTTGCAGAGTGGTTAGCACTGCTGCCTCACAGTGCCAGGAGGTCGGGTTTGAATCTGTATTGAGTTTGTACATTCTCCCCATGTCTGCGTGGGTTTCCTCCCACAATCCAAAGATATGCAAGTCAGGTGGATTGGCCATGCTAAATTGCCCTGCACTGTCCACGGATGTGCAGGCTAGGTGGGTTAGCCAAGGTAAATATAGGGTTACAGGGATGGGGTGGGTCCGGGTGGGATGCTTTTTTGGAGGGTTAGTATGGACTCGATGGGCCAAATGGCCTGCTTCCACATTGTAGGGATTCTATGAAGCATCAACAAGCGTGCAATACCCAAGTGACAAGTACAACAAGGTCAACTGTAAAATTTAAAATGGAAGATTAAGAAAATGTTTGCAAAATCAATGATAGTCAGAGGATGAGGGAGTTTTGACACAGAGGTATGGTGCTTAGAATTGAGTCTGAATGAATGTCAAAGCAGGGTCAAGGGTCTAAATGGCTTTCTCCCATTATCTGATAGATAAACATCAGCCAACCAGGTGACTGTTCACATGCAATTTCTGTCAGCTGCCGCCCCACAAGAAGAGATTTTAATGATGTCAATCGCTCCTCTATTGCAGTCAGGCTTGATCTCAATTTGTGAAATACGAGACAAGTGCAGTGCCATAATCTCCACATTGTGCTGACAGTATGTATGCACTATGAGCTTGAATGGTCTCTGACCATCCTGAAAAACAATCTGACTTTATGACAAAAAAGTGTATCCAGAGGATGCATCACCAGAAAGCCACAAATGGTCAAAGCTTACACTTCTTAATGATTTCAGGTATCAAAACATCCACAGTTCCTCTTTCAAACAGCCCAGATCCAAACTTGGATCTCAGATACCAATTTCATTAATAACCTTGATCCTTCTCCAGGACCAACAACTGAATGAAACTAGAAAACTTTTTAGTATCTAACACAACCTGATAGTCACCATACAGCCCTGTCATTCTCAAACAGTAAAAGCAGTAGGAACACATGGAAATAGCAAACATCAGGGGTCCAGTTTAACAAGGGTGAACTTTCCTAGAACCATCCACAGTTGTTTTAAAGAATTTTACAAGTTAAACATTTTCCTTCAAAAAGGAAGAAATGTGAAACAGCCATTAAGATTCAAGGAAAGCTGACTTGAACCCAACAAAATACATGATCCACAGCAGAACTAGGCAACTTTCTTAACAGTTAAATAGCAGCTTGGTGGAAGGTGTTCAAAATCTAATCAATGTGGTACATAAGTTGATTATAGCTCTAAAAGCGTGAAGGATTTACAACACAAAAAAAAAACACATGAACAACTGAAGTAGTTAGCAACAGCATTAAAAAAAAAAGGTGAATGCAAAAAATATCTGCAAACAAGTCAATGGTGAGGGTATAAAGGATGACGCAACAGGCCGAACTACAAAAAGGGTGTAATGACAAGCAATTAGGGATGATCTAAATTGCTGCTCCTTGTCAGTGAGAAAATGGAGAGCAGAAGAACATAACAGGCTTAGAATTGTAATGACATGGGTGTCACGTGTAATAAACAAGACACAATTTGGACCAGTTATTTCAGTAACTACAGCAAAAGTGGAGACATGAGACCAGTTAAATGCCAGAAGCATTAGTCTATTAACAAAAATAATGACAATTCAACTTAAAAGGTTTAACTTATCCAACGGTAAGTGTACAAATTGGCCTAGTGTCTGCAACCAAATAAGTGTGCTCCATAAAACTTCACAGTTCACAAGGATGATGTTTGTGCAGGTTATTTGCCAACATATGTCTCAACTATACCCACTGGATTGTCTCTCCAGAGTTGTGAATCATCAGCTGCTTTAAATATTTATCCTCGAAAGGTACAAGAGTTTCTGCCTGTAAACACTTCCAAAGGTACAGCATTACTTATTTTAATCACGTCTACATACACTGTGCCAAAGTTCTCTCTTCACTGTGGCAATTTTAACTCAAAACCTTCTAGAAGTTTTAAAGTCTGTTCGATTTCTAGTTCGTTTTTCAATCCCTATGAATGTATTATTTCGTATTCCCCCCAGCACTCTAAAGCTGGATTTACAGTGGCTTCTTACAGCGCTACGCAACTGATTTGCTAAAAATTAAACAACTATTGATCAGGAGCAGCTACATAAGTCCTGTAGCTACACAAGTCAAAGACTCAGAATTCACCGACGACTGGAATTCTGCAGGGACCTAGCACCTCCCCAAATCCTGCCCACCATCCAGAAGGCACAGATCTGGAGTGAGATTTTAATATTTTCCATCTCACCAGACATGCAAAGTGCTAACAACACTCAAGAAGCTCAGCACCATTCAAGCCAAATGCACATAAAACGTCAACACCCTCTACCACTGAACCACAGCAGTGGCAATGTGTACCATCCACAAGTTGCAAAGCCTCCATCAACAGCACCTTCCATACTATACACCTGGATCTCCTGGCAGGACGAGGGAGCAGATGGGAACAGCATCTCCAATGTTTCCTTCCAAGTCATATACCATCCCATCAAATCCTGGAACTGCCTAAAATATTTTTGGTACCCCTACAATTGAAGGACTACGGCAGTTCAAGGCAGGTCACCACTACAAGGGCAATTGGGATGGTCAATAAATGCTTGCTTTTCCAACAAAGCTTTACCCTATGAAAACACTTCAAGTTTTAAAATCTGATAAGATTCCCTTTACCAAATCTGTTCTAGTGCAGGGCTTCAGGATCTTCAGTTTCTCCTCAAATCTATAGATTTTTCTTACAAGAGAGTAACTTGTACAACTTCAGGATATCCAAATGCACTTTAGAGTCAATTACATGATCATTGTTGCAACTGATGAAAATTATCAGCGAAATTGTACGCCAACAGAGCATGCTATAGCATATTTGGCCAAGGGATGCTACCACTGTGATGACAGGGAGAAATTTTAACAAAATATCTGATTTGGACATTCATTCAATGGCCTACTGTCACTGAAATAGTACCGAATAGAAACACCTCTCAATAAAGTTCTTAGAGGGCAGGCTGATATGATTATTTCCACAATTTGAAGCTCATGGCCACAAATCGCATTTTGGGCATCGTCTCACCTTCTGAAAATGGATCAAATAGCTGCATCATCCAAAACTCGGGGGTTGGGTTGCCTATTCACCATTAATGGCATTCACATGGGGACCCTGACCATCAAGGTCAGTGGTGAGGCATTTCTTCAACACTGCACACATCCCATTATTCATCAATTGGGAAAGTGAGCTGTTACCAGCATTTTGAATATTCCCTACTGTTGCCCAGAATCGCTGAATTTCAAGCACTTTTTGGCTCAGTCGAAAAAAGTATTAGCCCTTGCTTTTCTTTGAAAATTGCACAGGAATGTTTTACATTCATCCGAGTTGGCTGTCACTTTAAAGTTTGTATTAGCAGGCAGGCTCATAGTGCAGGACTTCCTCAATATCGCACAAGCACCATGTTCTCAAAATATCTCAAGTTTGGACTTTGGTAGTGTATACCCAAATCTAATACAAACCCAAGATTTCATATTCAATTTGCAAGCACTAATTTCTAGCCTCGAGATGTATTTTAGGTTTTAAAATACACATCTTCACCACAAAGCATTTGGAATCAACGTCAACCCAACATCAAGTAAGTCTAAACCGAAAGAGGTGCAGATGCTGTAAATCAGTAACAAAAACAGAAGGGTCACCGGACCCAAAACGTTAACTGATTTTTCTTCATCGACGCTGCCAGACTTGCTGAGTTTTTCCAGCAACTTCTGGTTTTTGTTCAAGTAAATCTGCCCCAATTTTATGCTGATGCTCAACAGCCTTAAATAAAATGTCAAGAAATCTCAAACTTTTTATGGGAATTCTGCATTAGTTGAGGAGCTAAGCACTAGCCGCTGGATGAACTAACAAGGTAACAACTGATTCAGTGACATTAAGGCTAAGGACAGGAGATGAAGAGCTTTGACCATCTGAACTACAGTGGATTGAAAAGTGACTCACAGTGGTACCTTGTGGCCCAGAGTCAAAGTGCATTTCATCCTCCACTGATGTAATTCAATTAACCACTCTGCAAAAGTGCAAGTTATTTCAATGATAAACAATAACAACATATAGAATAAACATTGTAAGCACTAAAATAATAAATTCACGATTATTTGTTCTGGGGAAACTGTAAAATGGTCTAAGTAGCACTCTATCGTGAACAATTATTGGTTCACAATTTGTGTCAATTTCAAACATACCATTAATTCCACAAAAGTCACATGATGCGTGTTTTTGTTTACTAGAGGGTGGAGGGATGATTAAAAATTAGTCATATGATACTGTCACAGATGACGACGATCACACACTAAAACAAACAGACGCCTACTCCTTTTCGCATCATAATAAAAGGCCTGTTAAGTCCATGACGGTTTTATATTTTAAAAGGGGTGGGGGTGGGAAAGAAGGGTCAGTCAGAAAATAGGATAAATCCGAAAGGGATCAGTCAGTAGTTTAAGGAGCAAAAAACAGTTCTCCCGATTGACGAGTGGCCTAGACGAAGATATACATGAACCCAAACCCTCTCTCCCTCTTCCTGCTTCTTACTGCTGCTGATGCGCAATAATAGTGTATTTGTTCGGGGTGGGTTAGGTTTAAGAAGAAACATCGCGCCCAGCAGACATATAGTCAAATCCTTTGCTAAGTGACCACGCTGTGAACCCGGCCCTCGATTGCCGCGACCATCCCAGATATTCCACACTGGAATCCAGAGACACTCCTTGGAACGCCATGTACCAGTTCAACGTTCCAAATTGGAATCCAGAGACTGCCGTGAAACAGTTCAACATTCCAAATTGGAATAGAGACACTCCCGTAGAATCCCATGTAACAATTCAACGTACAGTACCATTACCACCTGCGGCCGCTACTCACCCTCAGCCCTAGCCGCTCCACTCACCCCTTCACCTCAATTTGTCGCAAGACACGTCCGTCCTCAGGCGGTCCGCCTACTCCCCGCCCTCCTTGCCGCGGTCGCCTCTGGGAGTTGTAGTCCATTCACACCCGTTCCCCCGGTTTTCTGCCAGGGAGGGAGACTACATTTCCCATGCTGCTTTGAGATAGGAAGAATTGCAGAGGTTAGAGTCAGAGATAACACAGTGTGGAGCTGGATGAACACAGCAGGCCAGGCAGCGTCAGAGGAGCAGGAAAGTTGATGTTTTGGGTGGGGTCCGTTTTTCCTGCTTTGACTTCCTTGTGAATCCATCCAACCCCAACTCGTTCCACCGCTATTGGCACAAATGTTAAAGCGGCTGCCTTCTTTTGATGTGTCCTCCAGCAGGTGTTTACGTCCTATTTGACGTTTCTCCCGAAGGGAAACCTCCCCGAGGTTTCCATCAAATCAGCTGAAGTTGGCCCTTCTCTATTTACTCTGTTAATAAGGTTAGCTAGCTACGAGTTTGAGGGTGGCGGAATGGGTAGCAGGGACCCAAAGAACTGAGGCTGTTGGAAATCAGAAACAATAATGTAAGTTGCTGGAGAAACTCAGCAGGTGTGGCAGCATCTGTGGAGAGAAAGCAGAGTTAGGCTGTGTTCTGTACAAGGGTCATTGCGTTCTCTCCGCAGATGCTGCCACACCTGCTGAGTTTCTCTAGCAATTTCTGTTTTTGTTCTGATTTCTAACATCCGCAATTCGGGGGAATAGAGGATGACCATTTTCGATTCGGTCGAGAAAAAAATTAAACATTGGGTGCACCAGTCGAGCTGAATGACTTGTTGTGCAGCTCATATTCAATACAATTCAGCCTACAGATTTTTGTGGTTACAAGTAAAGCATCACTATGAATATGTAAAATCCTCCATACCACTGACATTCAGTGCTATGCCCAATTGACAAGTGCCCTTCCAACTCCATGAACTAACGGCAAACAACCTGCTGGACCTACTGATGGTTATCACTAAAATGAACTAAGTATGTGAATATTTAATCAGAAGTTTTTAAAATTCATCCCAAATAGTGGGAAACCTGGCAAAAAGCCCCAGTCAGAAGCCCAGAGAGAAGCTTCTCTATATTGCAGTAGACTAGAAAAGACAACACCTTCCAATCTGTAGCCCAAGACACCCGTGGTGACAGTCAGCTTCCATGCCAGATGATCAGCAATAAGCTAAACTTAAAAAGACCCAGAATCGATTAACTATCAGAGCGAAATGGCGTATTTTTTTTTTGTTTTCATTAATTCATGGGATGTGGGCATCACAAACTAAGCTATTATTTATTGTCTATCCCACATTGTCCTGGGGAAGGTGAGGGTCAGCTGCTTTCTTAACTGCAGTCCTTCTGGTGTAGGTACACAAACAATGCAGTTAGGAAAGAAGTTCCAGGATATTTTGACCCAATTGCTGGAAAAGCTCAGCAGATCTGGCAGCATCTGTGAAGAACTGCTGATGTTGTAAATCAGGAACAAAAACAGAAGTTGCTGGAAAAGCTCAGCAGGTCAGAAGGGTCACCGGACCCGATATGTTAACTCTGATTTTTTCTTCACAGATGCTGTCGAACCTGCTGAGTTCTTCCAGGAACTTCTGCTTTTGTTCCTGATTTGCAGCATTCGCAGTTGTTTCAGTTTTTATTTTGACCCAGTGTCAGTGTTCCAGTCAGAATGGTGTGTGACCTGGAGGGGATCCTGCAGATGTTACTCCCTTGTACCTGCAGTCCTATCCTAAGTAGTAGTGGTCACAGGTTTAAAAGATGTTGTCAAAGGACCATGAGTGAATTACTGCAGTGCATCTTGTAGATTGGTCAGACTGCTGCCAATGTGGGTCAGTGGTGAAGGATGTGAATGCTGAAGGGTGAACAGGGGGCCAATCAAGTGGGCTGCTTTGTCCTAGATGGTGTCAAACTTCTAGAGTGTTGTTGGAGCTGCATTCATCCGGGCAAGTGGAGATTATTCTAACACGTTCCTGATGTAGGATCAGAGTTAAACGTATGGCTTAAAGTTTGGGTGGGAGATATGGGTTTTATGGAGGACTGGTAACATTATTGGGAAAAGAGAGAGCTGTACTATTATGGTGACCTTCACCTGAACTGCACTGAGATGGATTAAATGAGGTTGGATGTTAATTTTAACTGGAATATGGCAGAAAGAAACAGTGTGCAAACATAAGAATGGACCACCAAATTATGTCAGAGTAAGGAAAAATGATAAGATGAGAGGCTGAGAGATAGTAGCATCTGCCGATGCTGGAGAATCTGAGATAACAAGGTGAAGAACTGGATGAACACAGCAGGCCAAGCAGCATCAGAGAAGCAGGAAAGCTGACATTTCAGGTCTGGACCCGAAGAAGGGCCCAGACCCGAAACGTCAGCTTTCCTGCTCCTCTGATGCTGCTTGGCC